CAACTAGCTTTCCGACACACATTACATAACAAACCGAATAGCAGCCAGCGCAGCAACAACAACAACAACAACAACAACAACAACAACAATTACTAGCACGTGGGGACACTCCGTTCTCACCAGTGCAGGGTTTTCATAGGAGGCGGGCAATACCCCCACTTTGTGGGGGGGCCGGTTCAAGCTCTACCAAATTTCCAAACGACTCTTCGCCACCACCCACACCCAGCTTCCCGCCCTATGACGGTCGGACACTTCACTTCGTGGCATGCGGACGACCGTGGCTACTATTCAGGGCCCCGCGGCCGACGACGACGGCGTGCGCGCGCGAAGAAAAACCGAATGTGTCCCGCATGGTATTATTTGACAGGGATGATGGCCCTGGCAGGTGCGCAACCGTTGTCGCAGAAGTTCGAAAAAGTTGCTCGCAAAAGCCCGTTTGACAGAAATGTTTAAAACGTGTTGGGTTTCCTACGAATCCGCAAGAGCGCGCGGGATGAGATTTTGACATTTTTTTGTTGAAAAACCATTGGTTTTTTGATGTTTTTATGTTAAAATCGCTACGAAAACTGAGGTTTTGGAAGGATTTCGTCTTGCGCGCGCGAATGTCCACTTTACCTTATTTCTTGCAAGGGATTCTTGAAATTTGATTATATTAGAACAAGAAATGTCATTTTATAGTGTTTTTTGCAAAGGAAAGCGGGGGGGAACAAAACAACCGGATCTTGATCACATCGAATTACCTGAGGCTTCCTCACGAAAATGATGAAAATGTAGCTGCGGCCTAGGCGGCGCAGGGGGGCCGTGCACCAGGGGTCCCAACAATAATTATTCTTTAGAATTAATAATGTTCAACAACAACAACAACAACAACAACAACAACAACAAACACAACAACAACAATCATTCTAATACTGTTCGCCCTTATCTGCTCGAGTGTCGAATAACGCGTATTTCCCAAACCCTCGATACCCGCCCTCTTCGTCTTCGATCGAACCCCTTTTGGGGGTATACCTTTCTTCCCTGCAGGCCGGGCCCCGGCAAGCGGCGGGGCGGCCGCGGACCGTCGGCCTGGCCAGCGGCAGCGCTGATCGGCGGGGCGGCCGCGGACCGTCGACCCGACCCCAAGAGGGACGGACAGGGGACCGACCACGACGACGACGACGACGACGACGACGACGACGACGACGACGACGACGTCGAAGACGACGGCGACGACGACGGCCGACGACGAGCGAAAGCGAGAGCGAGAGAGAACGACAGCATGGGCCACGAAGGGCACGAAGTAGGCCACGAAGGGCGACAGCGGGGACACGAAGGGAATGCGTATGGGACCACGAAGAGTGCGAACGAGCGGGGGCCACGAAGTGCAGATAATGCGGGGCCACAGAAGGGCAACTATGGGGCCACTGAGGGTAGCAATTGGGCCACGTAGGACAATGAGGGGGACACAAATGGCGACAGCGGGGCCACGAAGGGCATGCACATGGGGCCACAACGGGCGCGACTCCTGGGTGCCTGGGTGTCGGGAGCGCGGCGCTTGGGCAAATTGCAGGAAATTCCAACGCAAGGGTATTCTTCAGTAAGCTGCAAGCAAGTCTCCAGCGAGAGCGCGACTCCAAAGCTCCGGGAGAGCGATTCCTGAGTAAATTGTAAGGAAGTCCCAAGCGAGAGCGCGACTCCTGAATAAAATGCAAGGAAGTCACGGGCGGGAGCGGGGGTCCTGCCTAAATTGTAGGGAAGTCTCAGGCGGGAACCGTTGTTGTTGTAACCCAGGGGCCAGGGGCCCAGTTTGAGCAGGAAGACCTTCCCTGTCAAAAAACAAGGTGCGAGCGTCGAGGGGCACACTTTGATTGAGAAAAAACAATATGCACCGGCGGGGGGGATCAACAATGATTCTTTTCAGAAATGAGAATTCAACCACAACAGCAACAACCACAACAGCAGCAGCAGCAACAACAACAGCCACAAACAACAACAACCACAACCAGAACAACAACAACAACAACAACAACAACACCAACACCACCACCACCACCAACAACAACAATCAGTGTAAGACTGTTCGCTCCTATCTGCACACGTGCTAATCAATACGTATATCCCAAACCCTCGGTACCCACCCTCGTCGTCTTCGATCGTACCCCCTTGGGGGTATATCTTCCTTACCTGCCACGTGTATTTAGTGCAGCCCCTAAATCAAGGGAAGAGAGGACGGGTGGAAGGGGAAGGGATAATGATGGAGCACGAGAGATATGAGCAGGAGAGGGGCAAGGAGCAGAAAACAAGTGGTAGAACCAGACGGGCAGATCGGGTGGGCAGACCCATAGCGGGCAGATCGGGAAGGCGGGCCCAGGCGACGAGGTCGAGCAGGCGGGTTGCTGAAGCGTGGGCCTGCATGAATCGCGAGGAAGTCTCGAGCGATGGCGCGATTCCTAAGCAAATCGTGAGAAGAAAAGACAGCGTGGGCCACGGAGGACATAAAATCCGAGGCCACAGAGGGCAGCGACGGGGCCGCTGAGGGCAGCACCGGGGCCACGAAGGGCATGCGTATGGGGCCACGACGGGCGCGAGCGAGCGGGGGCCACGAAGGGCATTCGTACACGGGGCCACCAAAGGCGACAGCGGGGCCACTGAGGGCAGCAAAGGGGCCACGAAGGGCAGCGAGGGGGCCACGAAGGGCGACAGCGGGGCTACGAAGGGCATGCGTATGGGGCCACGACGGGCGCGTGCGAGCGGGGGCCACGAAGGGCATATAATGCAGGGCCACAAAGGGCAGCGACGGAGCCACTGAGGGCAGCAACGGGGCCACGAAGGGCAGCGAGGGAAGGCGACCGCAGAACCAGTACGGGCAGCGAGGGGCATCGAAGGCGGGCGAAGGGCAGCGAGCGGCGACTGCAGTCATTAACGGGCTGGTCGGGCGGGCAGGCCCCGACGGGCGGGTCGAGCGGGCGGGGCGTTGAAGCGTGAGTCCTGCTTGAACCGCCAGATATGTAGCGGGAGCTCGATTCCTGATATTCGAGGACCGACATCTGAGTAAGTTGGAAGCAGATATCAAGCGAAGCGGTTCGGTGGTAAGTTGCGAGGAAGTCCCAAGCGAGAACGCGACTCTGCAATAACTTGTCAAAAAATATCAAGCGGGAGACGCGATTCGGTTGTAAATTGCCAGGAGGTCCCAAGCGAGAGCGCGATTCTTCAATAAAGGTGAGGAAGTATCATGCGGGAGCCGTTGTTGATATAAACTGGGGGCCAAAGACACAGTTTGAGCCTCAAGAATTTCCCTGATAAACAACCGGGCGCGAGCCCCGGGAGGGGCACTTCAATCGAAAAAATACTGTGCACCAGGCGGGGGGATCATCAATAGTTAATGTTCAGAAATGAGAGTTCAACAACAACAACAACAACAACAACAACAACAACAACAACAACAACAATCACTTTACCCGAACGCTCAGTGTTCTCACCAGTGCCAGGGTTTTCATGCGACGCCAGCCAATACCCCCACTTTGTGGGGGGGCAGTGCAAGCTCTACCAAATATCCACACGACTCTTCGCCACCACCCACACCCAGCTTCCCGCCCTATGACGTTCGGACACTTCACTTCGTGGCCTGCGGACGACCGTGGCTACTACACTGGCGTGGAGTACACACCCACAGAAGTTGTTAAGCCTACGTTCGTACACCCACAGAAGTTGTTAAGCCTTGTTAACCCACAGAAGTTGTTAAGCCTTCCACAGAACATCTGCCCCTGGCAGGCGCGCGAACCCCGTTGCAAGAGCGTGCGAAAGTAGCTCGCGCGAGCTCATGTAACATAAATGTTGGGAAACCATTGTTTTTTTTTAGGATTCGGACAGCGCGCGCGGGTGGAAATTTTGAAAAGTCGTGCAGCTGTTTTTCGAGGACCTACGGTGCGATTCGTGTGATTTTATGATGCGCGGTGCTAAAATTCTTAAGAAGCCCAATGGTTTTTGGAGATTTCGGCGTGCGCGCGCGAAGAAAAAACGAATGTGTCCCGCATGGTATTATTTGACAGGGATGATGGCCCTGGCAGGTGCGCAACCGTTGTCGCAGAAGTTCGAAAAAGTTGCTCGCAAAAGCCCGTTTGACAGAAATGTTTAAAAAGTGTTGGGTTTCCTACGAATCCGCAAGAGCGCGCGGGATGAGATTTTGACATTTTTTTGTTGAAAAACCATTAGTTTTTTGATGTTTTTATGTTAAAATCGTTCCGAACACTAAGCTTTTGGAAGGATTTCGTCTTGCGCGCGCGAATGTCCACTTTACCTTATTTTTTGCAAGGGATTCTTGAAATTTGATTATATTAGAACAAGAAATGTCATTTTATAGTGTTTTTTGCAAGGGAAAGCGGGGGGGAACAAAACAACCGGATCTTGATCACATCGAATTACCTGAGGCTTCCTCACGAAAATGATGAAAATGTAGCTGCGGCTTAGGCGGCGCAGGGGGGCCGTGCACCAGGGGCCCCAACAATAATTATTCTTTAGAATTAATAATGTTCAACAACAACAGCCACAACAACAACAACCACAACCATAACCATAACAATAACAACAACAACAACAACAACAACAACAACAACCACAACCACAACCACCACAACCACAACAACAACCACAACAGCCACAACAACAATAACAACAACAGTAACAACTGCAACAAAAACAGCAGCACCAACAGCAACAACCACAAAAGCAACAGCAGCAACAACAACAATGATAACAACGATAGGAACAACAACAACAACATCAACAACACCAACAACAACAGCATAAAAAAAGAAGCAGCAACAGCAACAGCAACACAAACCAGAAAACCAACAAAACAAAACGACAACAACAACAACAACAACAACAACAACCACAACAGCAACGACAACAGTGACAACAATCATGTTAAGACTGTTCGCTCTTATCTGCTCGAGTGTCCGTCAACGCGTATTTCCCAAACGATCGATACCCGCCGTTGTCGTCTTCGATCGTACCCCTTTTGGCGGGTATGTCTTTCTTCCCTGCAGGCCGGGCCCCGGCAAGGGGCGGGGCGGCCGCGGACCGTCGGCCTGGCCAGCGGCAGCGCTGATTGGCGGCAACCCGACCGGGCCACGAAGGGCTGCAACGGGGCCACGAAGGGCAGCGAGGGGGCCACGAAGGGCTGCAACGGGGCCACGAAGGGCAGCGAGGAGGCCACGAAGGGCTGCAACGGGGCCACGAAGGGCAGCGAGGGGGCCACGAAGGGCTGTAACGGGGCCACAAAGGCCAGCGAGGGGGCCACGAAGGGCTGCAACGGGGCCACGAAGGGCAGCGAAATCCCGATTCCTAAGTAAGCTGTGAGGGCGCCCTAAGCGTGAGCGCGACTCCTGGGTGCCTAAATGTTGGGAGCGCAGCGTTTGAGTAAAGTGCGGGGAATTTCAACGCAAGAGCGCAATGCTTTAGCAAATTGCAAGCAAACCTCCGGCGAGAACACGACTCCAGAGCGCCGAGAGAGCGATCCCTCAGTAAAAGCGCAGGGAGGCCCCAAGCGCGAGCGCGATTCCTGAGCAAAACGCGAGGAAGTCTTAGGCGGGAGCGGGGGTCCTGACTAAATTGTGGAGACATGTTCGGCGTTGTTGTTGTTGTTGTTGTTGTTGTTGTTGTTGTTGAAATCCTGGGGCCACCAACACAGTCTGAGCCCCGCGGCTTCTCCCTGACAGACCACCGGGTGCGAGCCCTGGAGCAAGCACTTCAACTGAAAAGACACAATGGTCACCCGAGGAGGGGATCAACAATAATTAACATTCAGCGATGGGAGTTTATCATCATCAACAACAACCACTGCAGCCACCGAAAAAAAAGCGCGCACGGTAGCATTGCCCTGAACGAAATACAGATCGAACCCCAAGCTTAAACAAAACCACGCTGCAAGTGTGTACATATGTATGCGTGTGCCTGTGTATGCATAGACGTGTATAATACTCAACTTTGAATGAATATGTATGTACAATGGGCTGCAACTGGCTGGCAGTTGGAGCGAAGCACATTATTGAGCGAATAGTTGCTGTTTCACACTGCTCTTGCGCAAGTCGGGAATTATGCATGATTCGAACACGTGTGCCACATCCAAGAGAAGCGCAAACTCATAGTTCCAGATAAGTGCACGCGTCAGTGAGTGCCTAGAGACGCTCTTGAGCAAAATGTTTTGGGAGCGGTTGATGCCCATTCAGCAGGGGTTGCGAGACTGGTCTAATTGCACTCGCCAGGCTGACACATCTGAAAATCCCGTTTTCTCCAACCAGACGTCCTTGAGCAGAGCTTGCGGGGCGATGTTGTCATTTGAACTCGTTGGGTTTCAAAGTGCGCTTCCTATATCCTTTTAGCGAGCTGTCCTTGAGCATAGCCTCCCATGTCTCCCAAAAAGTTGGCCTGGAGAGGCACCAATCCGCTTGCTGGATAGACACCAACGCCAAACTCTTTGGACAATTCTAAACTCTTCGGACGCTTCCCAAACCATGTCTGGAGGGACCCAAAACTCAGACTCTCTGAAGGGCCCCAAAAATCATACTTGGGTGAGACAGAATTCCGTGCGGGAGGGGGCTCCCGAACCTTTCGCCAGATGGGCCCCAAAAGCAATCTCTTCAGACCGGCCCCACATGTTCTTTCTGGATGAAGCCTCCAAGTTCTCTCTCTCTCTCTCTCTCCCTCTTTCTTTTTCTCTCTCTCTCTCTCTCATTCTCTCTCTCTCTCTCTCTCTCGCTAGGAGGGCCCCCAAAACCCTCGCTGGAAAAAACCCACAACCCTGTCTGGAGGGGCCCATCACCTTCTCTGCGAGAGCCCAACGCCTCCTCTGGAAGAGCCGAACCATCCTCGCCCGAGAGGCCCTACAATGCCCTCCACAGGGGGGGCCCAAAACCCTCACTGGAGGAGCCCCAGGGGCCCCCGGATCTCCGACCTCCCGAAGGCGACGGGCATCTGCCCACATTCCCGGTGGCGCCGCCGGATTCCCGCTGGCGCCCACGTGCACCACCGCCGCACCGCGCCGGAGGAGCTCGGGCACCAGGCGGTCCTCCGACACGGCCCCGGGCGCCGCCTCCGAGGGGGGGCGAAGGGCGCGCCGTGGGTCTCGTGGCAGTAGCGCAGCGCGCTCGCGATCTGCCGCACGATCTCCTGCGGAGGCCCGTCCACGCAGCCCGCCCGCCTCCGATACTGCAGGCCTCCCAGACGGGATCCGAGCAGATGGGGTCGGAGGATCGCGCCGCATCGGCGATGCATCGGCGACGTCGCCGGTGCATCGGCGCCGTCGGCGCGGATAGAATCGGGCTACACCTCGAGCCGCATCGCCGATGCATCGGCGCTGCGGCGCGATCCCCCGGCCACACCCACTCGGACCCCAGCCGAGAGGCCCAGAAGTCCTGCCCAGGCTGGCCCTGGGCCCCAGGAGCGGTGCACAGTGGAGGCGCACAGTGCGAGACCCCGCCCTCGCGTCGTCGGGAATCAGGACGGGAGGTTCTCTGCTACGGTGGGGGGCATTCCACAGGGAGCCCTCCGATAAGGGACCCAGGGGCTGGAAGCTGGTGGAACTTCCAAGCGTGGATCGGCCATGGATCTCACCGCCACCCTCCATCGGATAATGCGAGGCGGGGATCTATCGATATCCACCGCCTGGGAACCCACCTCATGGTGCCCCAGCGGGCGCTAGATATGGATAACTATATGTGTATACAAACATATATATATATACCTATACGAGCACCCTTCGGGTGATAAGGAGGTTCGGGGGGGAGGAACCAACGTCTCACTCGATCGGTCTCACTATCGATCTCAATATCGACCTCAGTATCGGTCTCGCTCGATCGATCTCCCTCGATCGATCTCACAATCGATCTCACTCGATCTATCTCACAATTGATCTGACTATCGATCTCACAATCGATCTCACAATCGATCTCACTATCGATATCACCTTCGGTCTCACTATCGATCTCACTATCGATATCACAACCGCTCTCACAATCAACGTCATCATCATCATCATCATCATCATCATCATCATCACCAACAACATCAACATCAACATCACCATCACCAACATCATCAAAAACGGGACACCGTCCTCATCATCAACACCAACAGCATCATCATCACGGTCATCAACATCATCGGGACACCACCATCATCATCATCATCATCATCATCATCATCATCATCATCATCATCATCATCGTCATCATCACTATCATCATCACCATCATCGCAATCATCATCATCATCATCAGCATCATCATCATCAGCAACATCGGGACACAGTCATCGTCATCATCATCATCGGCAGCAGCATCATCATCTGGACACCATTATCATCATCATCATCATCATCATCATCATCATCATCATCATCATCATCATCATCACCAGCATCATCATCATCATCATCATCATCATCATCATCATCATCATCATCATCATCGGGACACCATCATCATCATCATCTCATCCTCATCATCGACATCATCATCATAATCATCAACATCATCATCAGCATCGTCATCATCGTCATCATCTGGGCACTATCATCATCATTACCAACATCGACATCAACATCATCCTCATCATCATCATCATCACAATCATCATCATGACCATCGGGACGCCATCATCATCAACATCATCATCATCACCATCATAATAATCATTATCATCGGGACGCCATAATCATCATCAACCTCATCATCGTCAACATCATCATCATTGGGACACAATCATAATCAGCATCATCAACATCAACATCATCATACTCACCATCATCGGGACACCATCATCGTCATCATCATGATCATCAACCTAATCATCATGATCAGCATCATCCTCATCATCGGGACACCATCAGCATCATCATCATCGTCATCATCATCAGCAGCATCATCATCATGATCGGGACTTCATCATCCTCATATCATCATCATCCGCAGCAGCATCATCATCATCATCAGCAGCATCATCATCATCATCATCATCATCATCATCATCATCATCATCATCATCATCAGCATCACCATCATCAGCATCAGCATCAGCATCAGCATCAGCATCAGCATCATCATCATCATCATCATCATCATCATCATCATCATCATCATCATCATCATCATCATCGCGGGACACCGCGGGACACCGGCGGGACACCGCGGGGCACCGCGGGACACCGCGGGACACCGCGGGACACCGGCGGGACACCGCGGGCACCCTCCGTCCGCCTGCCATGGCGTCTCCCGCGGCGTGCATTCTCCGCGCGGCGCTCCCGGGGCCAGTGACTCGCTCTGCCAGTGACTGGCTGGGCGCAGAGCCTCCGACGCACGCCGAGGCAGTCGCTGCTGACCACAGCGACACGCCGAACACGCTGAAGGGCAGTCTGTCGCGCTTCCCGCCGCCGTGGTGACTCAAGTGGGGATCGAAAAAATGTATGAATCACAGTTGCCACCGCCATCGCTACTGTCAGCACCGCCGCACCCATCACCCACCGTCACTGCCATCATTGTGGTGGAGGGGGAGACAGATATAGAGTGTGAGAGAGAGAGAGAGCGAGAGAGAGAGAGACAGAGATTACCTAGTATGCGATGATTGTCTCGTGGTTGTCTTGTGATTGTCCTAATGGTTGTCTGGTGGTTGTGCCGATGGTTTTCCTGTGGATGTGAAGGGGGACTCTGATAGAGAGGGAGAGAGAGAGAGAGAGACATAGAGAGTGAGAGAGAGAGAGAGACACAGAGAGAAAGAGAGAGATGAGATCAAGGTGACAGGCTGGAGGTCAGTCAGGGTGGACATTTGATCTCAATCCCCCCCCCTAACCTCATTATCGCCCGCAGGGCGGGCGTATCGGTATATATCCATACCCACCTCCCGCCGAGGTCCCGGATGATCGACCGCCCGGGCGGTGATTATTGATTTGAGCCTCCGCTTTGGACGCTGAGATCCGACGTCACCAACAAATGGCAACATTCACCAATGAAATACAGCATCGTGGAAAAAAACAGCCAGCCCGTACCATAAGGATGCGCGATGCGGATGCAAGGGCCTTGGGCGCCCACTTCGAAGCTTCTCGAGCGGGGCGCGGCCAACGAAAGTGGCCAAGGATGGACCGAGGAGGCAAGGATGCATGGGTACCCTTGGGAAAACTGCCCGTCCTAACTATTCTGGTTGACTGTACTGACTACCTACCAGACCACCCCAACCCAACCCGAAGACCCAAATTTCGGGTTGGGGGGGGTAAGAGTTCCACATGTGTTTTTTCGATGTTTCCTGACCCCCCCCCCACTGGAAATCGAAGGTAAATCTGAGCCTTCGGGTTGTACGACCAGGGCCCCAGACCCCATCTTTCTGCTGCATCTTCTGGGCCGCAGCGCTCCTCGCGAGCGTCACGGGGGCACGTGCTGCAGCGGAGACTCTTGCTTGGAGTTCTGCCCATGAAAAATCCGAAGCGGCGAGCGAAAAACGAAGTGAATTTCACGTGGATTTGCTGTAGACTCTTCGTTCCCGGCAAGGAAAAACCGCACGAAACTCGCCTCGAACTCCGGCACGACCCTCTCCAGGACCATCCGGGCCCATCCCAAGCGTTTTCCGCACGGAAGCCCCCTCTGCGATGTTGGCACCGTGAGAAGCAGCGCGAGATCGCCGGTTTAGGAGAATAGGCGACGCCAAGGATCTCCAGCGACGCCCCATGCGTGCACGCCGAGCACGGGTCCAGGACAGGCCAGGCCCGGATCCGGCGCGGGCGGGCGCCCCCCCCCCCCCCCCCACACACGACGGGCAACGCCAGAGGGGTAGCAGTGCAGGGGCCCAGGGACACACCCATAGGTGCACACAAATCCCAGGGTTCCCCATATTTTCTCATCTGTCCTCGGTTCTCGTCTCCCCCCCACTTCCCATCTCTTCCCCGATTTCCTGGGAGTCGACAATTTGATGTGTCTGTGTGTGTGTTCCCCCTCCTGAACCAGCTCTCCAGTGACACAAAGGTATCAGGGTGCAAAAGCTGGCCCTGGGGAAGGGGGTCGTGGGCCTTCAAAGATTTGAATAGGGGATCGACTACAATATTAGTTTACTCCAAAAACTATTTTCTCGCCGGTCTCAAGAAAATAAGCTGAATATTTGCAGATCGACGAACATTCTACGCACTTGTGTAGACTCGACGAAAATATCAATTCTGGCGTAAATCAATTCTGCGGCGATCCCCTACTCGACAGATCTCGGTACTGGCTTTCCTTTCAGAGTCGTTTCTGGACGACCCCAGGTGAGGGGCAACGAGCGAGGGGAGGACCATCACAGGGGGGGGGGGGACACTGACCCAGAATCGGCGAGACAACGCTGACAGGTCGGCGAGGGGCCCCCGACATCGAATCCACGCACGCTCTTGGGCAGGGTGGGGCCATCGGGCTCCCATCGGCGATGACGGGGCGATCGACCACCGGCCCCCTCGCCTTCGGGTCCTAACTCGACGCTCCTGCGGCCGCTCGGGGCGCTCCCAGCACCTCCAGAGCGCCCTCGGCGAGGCGCAGCTGCTGGAGCGCATCCCGAGGCTGGAAGACCGCTGAGGAGCCGCTGCGGACCAACGAAAACGCCCGAGAGCCTCGAACCTCGAGCCTGAGCCTGGGCCTCCCCCGTGAGCGGATCCCCCCCCGCAACGCTGCCCCTCATACTCCTCCTCCTCCTCCTCCTCCTCCTCCTCCTCCTCCTCCTCCTCCTCCTCCTCTTCCTCCTCCTCCTTCTCCTCCTCCTCCTGCTCTTCATGATCCTCATCTTCCTGATCATTCTGCTCCTCCCCCCCCCCCGGAGATCTCCGCCATCTCCCCCTCGCCGGTGAGCTCGTCCTGCCGGGGGCGTGGCCAGATGCGCGGGCGCCTGGCCGGCCTGCAGAGCCGCGATCTCCGAGAGGCGGGGAGACATTCGAGCGAAACAGACCAAAAACTGGGTCGTCGGCGGCGAGGCAGAGGCAGTCCGCTCCAGCGTGTGGCTGATCGGGGCGACCGGAATGCGAACTGTCCGGCGTGCAAGAGGAAGGAGAAAGACGAAACAGACAAAAAACAGGCTGAGCCTCGTTTAGCCGAGCCCCTAGCAGGCCCAAGAGAGCCCCAAGAGCACCCCAGGAGAACACCAAGATGGCCAATTCAATGATGTTCGTCAAGTGTGTGAATGATGTTCGTCGCCACCGCCGCCGCGGCCGCCGCTGCCGCCGTCGTCGTCGTCGCCGTCGCCGCCGCCGCCGTCGTCGAGGTCGTGGTCGTGGTCGAGGTCGTCGTCGTCGTCGTCGTCGTCGTCGTCGTCGTCCTCCTCCTCCTCCTCCTCCTCGTCGTCGTCGTCGTCCGTCGTCCGTCGTCGTCCGTCGTCGTCCGTCGTCGTCCGTCGTCCGTCGTCGTCCGTCGTCGTCCGTCGTCGTCCGCCGTTGTCGTCGTCCGTCGTCGTCGTCGTCGTCGTCGTCGTCGTCGTCGTCGTCGTCGTCGTCGTCGTCGTCGTCGTCGTCGTCGTCGTCGTCGTCGTCGTCGTCCGTCCTTGTCCGTCGTCGCCGTCGACGTTGAGGCTACCGCCGCTGCCGTCATCGCCGTCGTCGTCGTGGTCGTGGTCGTGGTGGTGGTCGTCGTCGTCGTCGTCCTTCACGGTCGGCGGCACCGATCGTTCACAAGCCAGGCTGAGCATGGTTCCACCGATCACTGCCCGCATTGGCGTGGCCTGGGTCCCTCTGGCCGATTTTTGCCCCCCTCGATGGGTATATATATAGGCTGTGCCCTTCGGGCTTCGAGGGGGCGATCCCCAACTGGGGTGGTCGGATGGTGGGGCTGAGTCGATGATCCTCAGAACGTGTGTTAGCACCAACGTGTGTTTGCCCACTGAGACCCTTCACGACGACGAAGGCGATGTGATAATCGACTGGCTGGGTTGAACGGGGTAAACACACATTGGGCCAACACACGCCCTGGGGGTCATCGACTGAGAGCCCATGGCTCGGTGGGAATGGGGATAGGTTAATCGATATAGAGGTGAATAAAGTCGGGCGGGGAAAAAGCCAGGCCCCGTCGCGGCGAGAAGAAATCACGACGGGCATTTTTGTTTGTCCACTTTCGGCCTCGTGGGGCCCTCGCCTGGCCCCTGGATCGTCAAACAACAATTCAGGGCGGAAAGCCGGTCCCAGGAAATGGGTCGACACCTCGGGGGGTCCACGTTGTTAACGAAAACAAAAAAACATGACGTCTGGGATCCAGAATCTCTGAGAACCGAGGGGTCTGGGGGATGTATCGGGCGCCGCGGCCGTTCCAGAGCGCTCCAGAACGCTATGGAGCAGCTCATCAGCACCCTGGAAAGGTTCGAGGGTCCCCAAGATCTGGGCGTCGCCCGGAAAACTCTGATGGCCAGCTTTTCCAAGCGCCCAGCCTCCACAGGCCGTCTCTGGCCCAGAGGCGATCAAAAACTACTCGGGATGGACAACTGGCCGTGGCGAAGGCATCCAGACCCTTAGGGCCAACGTCAACAAAGATACCACATCGGAGGAGAGGCACCGAGTTTGTGGGGGAGGGGCGCTTCGGTGCCTTTGAAGGCCTCTGGATCTCCTGGGCGCGAATTGATAATGGGGGGCGATAAATGACGGGGGAGAAAGGTGCCCTTCTAGGGCCCAGAAGGCCCCCTCTGGGGCCCTGAAGGCCCCCTTCAGGGGTCCCGAAAGGCCCCTTTCTGCAGCCCTCGCTGCCCCCCCATGAACCGCCCCCCCAGCCTACGCGTCCTCCGAATATCGAGGCCTCGGGAGGCCTCCGGGACACCCTGGGGAGCTCCGGGGAGCTCCCTGCACCTCGGGAGGCCTCGGGAGACGCCCAGGGGCTCAGACCTCCCAACGCCTTGGCCAGCGGGCGCCTGACCGACTCGAACCTCGGAGCAGGGGAGGGGGCAGCAAGGTTCGACGATCGATGTCCCCCTCCTCCTCCTCCTCCTCCTCCTCCTCCTCCTCCTCCGTAGGTCTGACATGGTTCACCCTTCATGGGACTCCAAGAGGCGTCTCGTCACCACGGATGGCGTTCCCCTGGAATCAGATCACCTGGACGCAGCACCGGAGAGACCTGGTGGTCGATTCCGAGGAGGAGCCAGGCCTCCAACATGAGGAAAACTCCGGACGGAGTTGTTCCATAGGATCTGGCTTCCTGCATGGGGGCCGCGTTGGGGCCCCTGGACAAGCAACAGCTACCTGGCAGTAGAAAGCAATCCCCCAGATGGGGTCGAGTGCTCCCTCCTCCCTCTCCCTCCTCCCTCCTCCCTCCTCCCTCCTCCCTCCTCCTCTTCCTCCTCCTTTTTCTACTTCTCCTCCTCCTTCTCCTCCTCCTCCTCCGCCTCCTCCTCCTCGTCCTCGTCCTCGTCCTCCTCCTCGTCCTCGTCCTCCTACTCCTCCCCAAGAGATGGAGGGAGAGAGCGAGAGAAAGAGAGAGAGAAGAAGGGAAAGCAAAGAGACTGAGAAAGCGAAAGTGAGAGAGAAAGAGAGACAGGAAGTGAAACAGAGAGAGAGAGAGACGGTGAGGAGAGGGCGGATGGCACACATACTACACACGAAGATGGGCGCTGAATGGTTGCGTTCGTATGGCGCGGCAGCCTGGAGCGTCAGAACGCCAAGCGATCTGGCCACGGGGAGGAGAGAGATAAGAAACAAGACGCGCGGAATGCCCCAGAACGATAGGTGGACGAGGTCGAAGAGGAGGTGGAGGGGTGGAGACTTCTGTTGGTGGAGGGGGAATAGGAGCAGGCTTCTGGGGGGGGGGGGGGGGGCGAAGGGGGGGGGGAGGGGGCGAAGGGGGGGGGGCGGAGGGCACAAGGTTTTAGGTTGCCACAGGGGGCTGGGGGTCGAGGAGAGCGAAGGGAGGAAGAGGAGGAACGGGAGGGGAGGACGATGATGATGATGATGATGAGGAGGAGGAGGGGGAGGAGGAGGAGGAGGAGGAGGAAGGAGGAAGGAGGAGGAAGGAGGAGGGAGTAGGGAGAGGGGAGGTGGAGGAAAGAGGGCGCGGGAGGATGAAAGAGGAAGAGGGAACGAGGAACACAGACGGGAGAGGAGAAGGAGGAGGAGGAGGTGCGCAAATCAAAAAGATATCAACGATGTCGCAATAAGCATTGCGTCCAAATTCCCTCTCCATAGGTCCCTAAAATAATGTATTCTCATTGCCGGAAGCCGCCCCTCAGAAGACAGCCGTCTGAGAATGCTCAATCGAACCAAAGTACAGCTCCCAGGATTCCAACGCCTCGGATTGACGTGACTGTGGCGTCCTGACGATCCTGAACCGTGCTGGAACACCTTTTCCTGGGAGGTCAGCACCGCGAACCAACGTGATTGCTGCGTCCTGACAATACTCAAATTGCTCCAGAACGCCACGCGCATCCTTAAAACGCACACGCATCCTTGAAGCTACTGCATCCAGAAACGCACACGCATCCTGGGACTTCGACCACACGCATCCTTAAAACCATTGCAAGTTTGAGACGCTAAAGCGAGAGCCACAATCTGAAAAGAAACGGGGTAAGAACCACATGTTGAAAACCACCCACCCTCCGTCCGTGAAGCTCTTGCAAGCTTTCAGACAAAAGTGCGCGGCACTGCGGCGAGAACCACATTGTTAAAACCACCCGTGCTCCGTCCGTGAAACTGCTGCAATATGTTGAAACGAACGCGCGCGGAATCAAGGCGAGAAATACAGTTTCAAAAGGACGCACCCTCCATCCGTGAAGCTGCTGCGAAGTTTAAGCTCCGGGATCACAAATGCCGAGGAAGTCTCAGGCGAAACGCCCAGCCCGCCCTACCGACACGTCTGGGGGTACGACACGGAGGAGTTATTTACAAAAAGAAGGGATGGATGAGGAGGAGGTGGACAAGGAGGAGGAGGCCGAGGCCGTCACTGGGTGAGGCCGCTTGCAGCTGCCGCGTCCTCCACGATGCGATCGAAGAGCTCGCCCCCCTCGCAGAGCTCCATGACCTCGCAGAACGAGCTAACAGGGGCGAGCGTGTTCGAGCGCACGACTGCGCGTCCGCGGCCAAGGCAGTGACGAGCAAACGAGGGATTCAACATGGCATCCCGAGGCGGACTGCGGAAGTGGCGCAAGCTCCACCGCAAAAACCTGCGCGCCTGCGCGGCCGAAGCCATGGACCTGGCAGGCGATCCGCCGAAGAGGCCCGAGCCGCCTCCTGGCGTGGCAAGAGGGGTGAGGGCGGCGGTGGCGGGGCCGCCTTCGAGGAAGGCCTCCTCGCATCTCAGAGGCTGTTCGGAGTCTGCAGCCAGCCCCTCGTCGTCGTCGTCGTCGCCGTCACCGTCGTCGTCGTCGTCGTCGTCGTCGTCGTCGTCGTCGTCGTCGTCGTCGTCCTCGTCCTCGTCCTCGTCCTCGTCCTCGTCCTTGTCGTCGTCGTCGTCGTCCCTGCGCCCGCGTGCGCGCGCCACCGAGGCCTTCTGGCACGATCAAGCGCGGGCTCCGAGCCACGACGACGACGACGACGACGACGACGACGACGAAACCGACGACGCCGACGCCGACGCCGACGCCAGCGCGCCGATGGCGCCGCCGACGGGGACGTCGATATATATATATATATATATATATATATATAGATTGCGTGGTGCATGCGCAATGGATGTCACCGACCGGGTCTAGATTACTCGAGGCCGCTGAAGAAACACGCTTGACCAAAACGAAGGTCCTGCGGCAACTCATGGGAAATTATCATACCATCTTGTTGGCTCTTGCGAATCGACGCTTATCGACGCCACGCGACGCTGATCGACGCTAAAGCGACGCTGAATCAACGCTAATCGACGCCAAGATACGCTAAACTGGCGCTGTCTCACCGATTACCAGACGCCAATGGACGCTGAGGCACTCCAAAAACGGAATTACGAGGGTACACAAGGCTCCCATGGTCTGCTACCCCCGTGCTTAGAGTTAAGGAATTCTACGCTAAGAAGATGGGCTCCACTCTAAGCGTCTTCTTAAATTGTAGTCCAGGCTCAGATGCACGCAAGTTCTACGAAAAACGAGGCTCCCAGAGAACGCCCAGAGACCAGTTCAGACTCTTGAGTTGCTTGAACGCGATCTGCAGTCCACGAAAGATGAAGCTTTTTCTAGAGATCTCGGATGGGCACGCGCTGCTTTCACAATCAGCACACCCGTCTGGCCGCGCGCGCCTGCAAGAAGCGTTCGCGGGCCGACGGTACGCACACGCGAGTGCACCGGTCACGCGCAAAGCTGCGTGCCACCTGCGAGCGCAAGAAAGCCCGGCCCGACCAGGTACAGGGCTTTCGAGTCCTCGAAGACCTCATGAAGCTTGCAGATGTGCGGGTGGTCCAGCTCCTGCACCCGCAGGGTGAGGCAGGAGAGCCAAGAATCGGATTGATTAGTCGGATCAGCGATCGAGGTGGATCGGATCGGCGGGAATCGGCAGCCAGGTCGGGAGAAGTAGAATCGGCGGAAATCGGCGGGCTAGTAATGCCTCCAATGAGACATCGGAATCCAAATCAGTATCCGAGGTCGAATCGAATCTGAATCGGAAGCCATCAAAATCGAATCGAATCGAATCGGCGGAGTCGAAATGAGCCCTGGAGAGGTGGCGGCAGGGGAAAAAAGAACGCGGAAGGGCCACGCGATGAGAGAGGATACAGGGGGACGGCAGTAGAAGAGAAAAACCTGCATTCGCACTAAGTTGTCGGAGGTCCGCGCGGATTTCTTTGGTCGGCGCTGGACCCCCATCCCCATCCCCATGCCCCTTCCTCGGCGCGCGGAGCGCGCTGAAGCGTTGGGAAGGGTCCAACGCCGACCCAGGAAATCCGCGCGGACCTCCGAAAGTCTATTTACATGCCGTCGTTTGGGGTGCCTTCTCGGCAGGGGTGCGGGGGGAGGCAAAATGACGGAGAGGGAACTGATCGCGTGGGACTGTAAAACTTTGAGCGACTGGCAACGCAGGTCCCCGTCTACACTAGCGCAAAGATGAAGGAGCTGGAGGAGGGTGCAAAACAAAAGCGCGTACGGATGGATCGATGTGTCCCTGGTCGGCGCTCTGGAGACTGATATGAGGATCCACGCTCCACGCAAATGGCATTTACAAACACATAGCCCGAAACACACCAGAGCGAACTACACGACATGAACCCAGGAGCATTCATCAAGCATGCCGAACCTCAGTTGAAACAAGGTCGTGGCACATACACAGTCTCGCCACAAACACCCGCTTCACGTCACGCCCGCTGCGTACGTGTGAATCACGCAAGATGCGCTCCAAGCCAGCATATACGAGGGTCCGATCATCTGACTTTGTCTCACACACGCACGCATGCAAAAAACTGGAGAGGAGGCTGTTGCCAGGCAGGAGCGCCACCCAAAAATTACCAAGATAGAGGCCCACACATGACGCTCTGCCAGCACGTTTCCCCCAAAGTCAGCGAAAACAGACCCCGACGTCATGATTTTTCACAGCGTGGACCCCGAGGTTTCGACCCGTTCCCTGGGACCAGCTTTCCATCCTGACGCGTTGTTTGACAATGTCAGGGCCCGGCAAGGGCCCCCAGAAACCAAAAAACGACAAAACCTCCCCGCATGATTTCCCCGTGCAGGAACTACCCTCCGCCTCTGGCTCCTCCTCCTCCTCATCCTCCTCCTCCTCGGGCGCGCCGTGGGGCCTTGAGGAGCTGCACCTCCTGCAAGAAAAACGCTCGTTCCTGGGCCAGCACACCCTCTGTTTCTCCTCCTCCTCCTCCTCCTCCTCCTCCTCCTCCTCTTCCTCCTCCTCCTCCTACTCCTCCTCCTCCTCCTCCTCCTCCTCCTCCTCCTCCTCCTCCTCCTCCTCCTCTGCCTCCTCCTCCTATCCCTTCTCTCTATGAGTAACTCCTCCCTGCCGCTCCCCCGGACGTGTCGGTAGGGCTGGCCGGGCGTTTCGCCAGAGACTTCCTCACCATTAGTGATCCTCAAGCTTAGATTTGCAACCGTTTCACGGATGAAGGGCGGGTCGTCTTCACCATGTGGCTCTCGCCTTAGCGCCGCGCACATTCGCCTTAGAAGTTCGCAACAGCTTCACGGATGGAGGGCTGGCGATTTTTTAGTGTGGTTCCCGCCTTGGCGCCGCGCACATTCGTCTCAAACTTTGCACGAATTTCACGGACGGACGGCGGCTCATTTTCAAAATGTGCCTCTCGCTTTAGCGCCGCGCATATCCGTCTGAAGAGAGTACAACAGTTTCAAAGATTATAATTGCCGTTTCAAAGATTATAATTGGCACGATGTAGGACTGTCAGAGCGCAACAATCACGTCACGTTGACTCGCGGTGTTGAAATCCCAGGAATTGTGCTCCGGCACGGTTCAGGATCGTCAGGACGCAACAGAAGCGTTGAATCGCGGTGAAATCCTAGGGATTGCGTTTTGGCGCGACCCATGATGTTCAGACGGTTGTCTTCCAACGGGGCACTTCCCTACAAATCCTTGCAGGGAAATTGAAAACAGAACTTAGAGGGATGGTTTATTGCAACATCATTTGTGAGCATTGGGTTTACACTGGTCCTCCTCCTCCTCCTCCCTCCTCCGCGGGGTGAAACATCGACTTGGAATCGGCGATACATCGCCGGTAGATGGGCGACAGACTCTCGATAGCGAGTTCGCACGCTCCTGGACGGGGTGGGCCCTCGGGCCCCTATCGGCGATGAATGGGCGATTGGGGGTCCATGCATCCCCCCTGAGCCTATCCCCCAACAACGTTGCCTCTGATCCCCCTCCCCTCGCTTGCGACTCCGCAGGGTGTGGTTTGCAAAGGGGGCGGTTTGCCACGCGCACCATGGGGGCGGGGGGCGGCCGAGGACCTCGACAGAGCTCTCCGCCGGGCCCCGAGGAGGCCCGACGAGGGCAGCATGGTGCCCCCCCAAGCACCAACGACGCAGAGCGCGAACCACACCCCGGCGTAACCACACCCTTTTCGTAGTCGCCGATCTCCTATCCATCTAGGGCAACTGGGGGAACAAATCATGACATAAACATGACAAATCGGAGGTCCGCGCGGATTCCTCAGATCGGCGCCGGGGCCCCCTGGCGGCGCCTCCAGCGCCGCCGCTGGCGCGCTAGGCGCGCCAGGGAAGAGGGTCCAGCGCCGACCCGAGAAATCCGCGCGGAACTCCGCGTTTTTATAGTTACGTCATTGCTTGCTCCCCTAGCATCGGGCCGGACTCCATCCCTGCCGGGACTCTGCTGGGCCAGACTGCTCATCGATCCAAGCGAAGCGAGCGACGATAAGAACTGGGCCTCACGCGAGATGACACAGCGACCTCCCGCCGCGGCTCACGCGGGCCACCAGCGAGGCAACCTGCATTGGAAGCGAGGGCGCTTGCGCGCAACCTTACGAGGCAAGCTTACGCGCGAATGCCGGTGCAGAAGGCCCCGTTCCCCCTCCTCCTCCTCCTCCTCCTCCTCCTCCTCCTCCTCCTCCTCCTCCTCCTGCATCCTCCTCCTGCCTCCTCCTCCTCCTCGTCCTCCTCCTCGTCCTCCTCCTTGTCCTCCTCGTCCTCCTCCTCCTCCTCCTCCTCCTCGTCCTCCTCCTCCTCCTCCTCCTCCTCCTCCTCCTCCTCCTCCTCCTCCGCCGCTCAAGTGCATGCCAGCGCGCGCGCAAAGGGGAACAAACCAGATGCTCGACGCCGACGGCGCTGGCGGAGAAGGCCCCGGGCGAGGCGCGCAGGAGGGCCTCCGCGGCCCCCTTCCGCGGCCCCAGAGAGCTGCCCAGCGAGCTCGAAGAACTCGACTCGTCGGAGCTCCAGGCCCATCGTGGACGTCGTTTCTCCCTGCCTGTTTCGGTTTCGGCAGTTCCCCCCCCCCCCCCCCCCCCAAAAAAAAACATAAAAAACAGTCCTTGCGCTCAGAATTCCTGACGTCTGGAAAAAAAAAAAAGGAGCTGGGCCTGTCTGTCGATCTGGCGGCTATGTTGCCGCAGTCGCCCCCGATCGCGGCCTCGTCGCCACCCGTCGTGTGGCCCTGTCTGTCGGTCTGGCGGCTATGGAACCGCCGTCGCCGCCCCGTCGCCCCCGTTGGATTGCACCAAATAGACTTTGCGAAAAAAGACGCACCCGCGGCACGCATTTTGACGGCTCAAAACATAGAGTACACCACATATATTGCACAACATAGATTGTACAACATAGATTGACCAACCACAAATATTGCACTGCATGTATTGCACGCTGCACCATATCGATTGCACAGCATGTAGAGCACAATAACGATTGCACAACACAGGCACACCGCATATATTGCACCACGTAAATCGCACCTGGTAGATTGCACCGCCTAAATTGCATCACATTGATTGCGCCAGAAATACTGCACAGCATAGATCGCACCACATAGATATCCCAACATAAATTGAATCACATGTGTTGCACCACATTGCTTCTCTCTGCTAGGATGACATTCTGATCTACCACCCCACCCCACCCCCCACCACCCACCCCACCCCTGGGTTTCGCGGCTCCCCCATAGGATCATACAATGTACATACGATTATGCCCCATCGCTCGCATTAAATATGCTAGCCAGCGTTGACCCCAACAGTGTGGTTTTAGCAATCGGTGCTGTGCAACCTACGAAGTGCAATCTAATTCGTGCAACATCAGTTGTGCAATCTAGGTGGTGCAGTCGATGTGGTGTAAAAAATGTTGTGCACCATACGTGACGCAAACCATGTGATACAACTCACGTGGCGCAGCCCATGCTGTTGAATATATGTTGCACAGGCTACGCGGTGCAGTCTATGTGATGCCATGCACAGACGCATATACTTGCGCAGATAAATATTATATAGATGTGTGTTACAAACACACATACACATACATACACATATACGTGTACATATGCATACACACATATGTACATTTACATACACATACACATATACACATACATATACATACGGCGGGTGCATTGGACAAGGATACCTCGGATAAGGAATCCGGGGTCTGGAAGCCAGTGGAATTCCAATCGTGAACTGGCCATGGATATCACCATCGCCCTCATTGGATAAGGAATCCTCCGGGGTCTGGCGCCTCCTGGGACTATTCCTTAACAAACGCCACCACCGTATATACGAATATATAGATAGACGAATACATATACATATACACGTACATATACATAAACGTATAAATGTAAATGTACATGTGCATGTTCATTATATGTACATATATAACTACAAATACATATAAATACGCATAAACATACATAAATTTAACACATGCACAGACATATGCGTATACATACGCATGCATATCTATATATACAGATGCACGCACATGTACACATACCTAAACGCAAACATGTACATATACATATGACGATACACAAACGTATACATAATCATGCTGTTTACAAATGCATAAATACATGAACTAGAACCACGCGCGCGCTACGCGCGCACTTCGGTTCTAGCGCAGGCCAGGGCGCCTTCATGCCACATTGGCTGAATGCCTTGACGCTTCAGTTCGAGAGTTGCGGGGTCGTCGGAAGTAATGGCCGTCGTGGGACACGGAGCCGCAAAGCTTTCTTGGACTGACTCTCGGGCTGTTCTGGGGGTGTTTCAGGGGTGTGCTGGGCCGTACTGGCGCCGTCCAGGGTTCACCCAGGAGGTTTCTTGGGCCGCTGAGGCGCTGTCCGGCCCTGCCCGAAGGCTATCTGGAGGCCTCCAGGGTGGGACAGCAGGCACGCCTGTCATCAGCGGGGGGCCTCCTGGGGCTTCCCAGGGGGTCCCTTCGGGGTAGGGTGAGCCTTCCTAGGGGCTCATGGAGGGCTTCGTGAGGCTTCTTGGAAGCCTCTGGATGGGCTCTGGGAGCCGCCTGAAGCATTCGGTCCATCCCGCCACCGTGCCAGGGTTGTGGCTCCGAGGCCTCTTGAGTGTTCGTTTGGATCTCGTGGTACGCCTCTCGGGGGCTTCTGGGCGGCAGGTTTGAGGTCTCTTGGGGAGCCGGTTTGGGGCCTCTTGGGGTATTTTTGGGGTCTCTTGGGGACGTCCTTGGGGCCTCTTGGAGGTCCCTTGGGGCCCCTTGGGGGGGCCCTCTTGGGGCCTCCTGGGGCCCTCTCGGGGCAGAAAGTTAGACTTTTGAATGTTTGGTCGCCCTCTGGGCCCACTCTTCGGACCTTCTCGGGGCCCTGTAGGCCCTCTTGGGCGCCTCTTGGGCTGTCTGGGGGCCCTCCAGAGCCGTCTTGGGGCCGTCTTGGGGCTGTCTTGGGGGCCTCCTGGGCTGTCTTGGGGCGCTCTGGGGGGCCTCTTCGGCCGTCTTGGAGCGTCGGCAAAGTGACAAGGCGAGAAAGCAAAATACATCGAAAAACACAACGGAGAATCTACGACTTTGACCTTTCGGGGCCCACTTCGGAGGCTTTTTTGATGCTCTTGGGGCGCCTTGGGGGCTTCTTAGGCTGTCTTGGGGCCATCAGGGGCGTCTTCGGGGCCGCTTGAAAGTCTCTTGGCCATCTTTACGGCCCGCGTGGCCTGTCTTAGGCGTCTCTGGGAACTCTCTCGGGGGCCCAGCGCGCGCACGCGGAGAGTCTAGGCAACTGGCCGGGGGCCTCTCCGGGAACGCGCCCGAAGGCCCGGAGCACTCATGGGAGGTCGGGCCACCAGGCTGGGCCCCCCCATCCCTGTAGCCCAGTGTGTATACACACACATATATATATATATATATATATATATAT